AAAAACTTATCAGCTGCTTTAAACAAACTTGAGGATAGAGAAAAAAAAAACTAAAAATTTTGACTCCTATTGAAAATGAAATAAATGCTATAAATATTTTAGACAATATTAGTAATATTAATTATTACTATTATTTCACCCTAGATCGCTTGAGTTTTTGCAATGATATCTGAATATTAGGAAACAAAAAATGGTAGTACAGAATTATGCTTCGGAATGGTTTATAGGTACTTCTAGGATGTTCATCCTCTTTAATAATGGGACAAGAGTGACTGTATAATGCTTCCAGAAAATTTGAACAGAATTCTAACAAATAAATTAAAATTTAATATTTATATTTTTAATATTGACAATGCATAATATGGAGACATATTACAGATTTCTGAGATATCTATGTTATGAAGAAAGGCCTGGTTTTTTTGTTTCTGTACTAGTAATAATAATAATAATAATAATAATAATAATAATAATAATAATAATAATAATAATAATAATAATAATAATAATAATAATAATAATAATAATAATAATAATAATAATAATATCTTTATTATTTCACATATTTAGAATCAGTGTATATGAATTTCGTCAATTAGGCAAATACAGATCATACAAATGAGGCAGGAAATTTCATTAAAAATTTATATAATAAAAATATATGACAGAACGCAACAATACAGTGACGGCAAACATTAATAGGTAAAATATTCGTTTAAATTTTAAAAACATTTTTTTAGAATAAAAAACTTTAGTTTGGATTTAAAAATGTTTACATTACTACTGATCTTTAGCTCTGGTCATAGTCTATTGTAGACTTTAATACCGGTATTCGTAAACTATTTTTTTGGAAATTTTTGCCTATTTTTTTATGAGAAACAGTCTTTGTTAAGTGTATTATAGTCGTGGAAATCTCCGTTTTTTTGTATGGTATTTTTATTTTTATATACCCATAAACACACTTCTAATATGAACTCTGATAGACCCAAACCACGTAGTTGAGCAGAAAGTTAATTGATAAAAAGGATAAATAACACAAGGCTAAGCACTGTACCATGCTGACTTTCGGACAAAATTTTGTTTTTACTGAAATAATCAAATATTCAATTAATGTAATTGCTAATGGACGATAATTTTCTGCAGAATGCCTGTCGCCCTTTTTAAAGATGGAGGCCACACGCCAAACTTTTAGGAAAAACTCCCTCTGTTAATGATACATTTATCAGGGTGGTCAATGGACTCAGGATATAGTCGTCACACTTTTTGAATATTACAAAAGGCACTAGTTTTCCTGTAAATTCCCTTTTTGCCCTTCTAAACCTCCTCGTGGACCTGCTGTGCTTTCGCTATCCATACCCTCCCGGTTATTTCTTTTATGGTTTATTGTCTCATACTGCTCTTGTTGTTGTGTCCTATAGTTTTGTACGGACTATTATCAAAATGTTACTGTTTTAGTTGTGAATTTGTGTATTTCTACATGAGCTATTTGTTTCATTGTAACATTGAATCAACGATATGTAAATCATGGGATTAATGAGCCACCAATCATAGTTTTTTTTTAATTAATACGTTATACTTTTTTTGGTTGAGTTATTTTTGATCGTTGAAAGTGATAATTTTAGCAACTAATGGACTTTAATTGAAAAATGTATTGAAATGTTTAATGCGGTAGAATTGGCCGCGTTTACGTGAAATAACAAACTGTTTATTGCCAATCGGCCGGGTCGCCATGAATATGCAAAATTAGGGTGAGGGCGTCGATGTAATATAAACCTCCAGATCATTAGCGATTGTTTAACGGCAGAATTCGCAAAATTTGCAAAATGCCTATCGCGTGTCGATTAATGTTTATTTGGACGCTTGTCGGGTTCAAAGTACGTAAATTGATTCCATAATGTATTGCCAAATTTGACCGAGGTGAATAATTCATCCGTGGTGGACAATTTTGGTCTGATATTTCCGAAATGGAGAGAATTTCTGGACTTCTTTTTCAGTTTAACAGCTATCACGCTGGAATTGTGTTTTTGAAATTTTAATTTCAGCTGTGATTTGCTTTAATTTCGATGCTCTACAATATATGCCTTTTTTCAGAAGCTCAGAAGTAGAAACTACTCGCTCAGAAGTAGAAACTACTCTGTACTGTATGTCACATTCAAGTTACAATACGGAACAACTTAAATTGACCATTCATTTATGGGAAAATTTATACTTCGGGTACCTCTGGTGAGAATCTAGCATTTGGAGAGCGACTGGAGAATTCCAAATCAAACTCTTTTTTGAAGTTTTACAATAATTTTGTGGATTTATCCAGGAAAGTTAACAACTTCGGTTTTCTGTATTCTGATTTGCTGCACGATCGCATCTAGTGTTGGACGAAACCTAGCAGTTGTATAAGTAATAGTATTTAGTAAATAAAATGCCTTATACTCTCTACCTCTCTTATCAGTTATGACTTCTATTCGAGTGAACGTAGTTCTTTTCTCTTAATATACAATAGAGTTATAGAACGATTTGCCCTTCAGGTACCTCTGGTGAGGATTTGAATAGCGATTCTAGCATTCCAATCCTAACTTTATGTTGCAGTTTTACAGTAATTTTGTCACTACCTATCTGTCTTCTCTGATGGTCCTTAAAGTGTACAAAAAAAATGTATTGCAGTCTTGGCCGAAAGAGTATTACACTCTTTTAGTGAAGAAAATGCTTGTTAGTTATGAATTGCCTTTAAGTAAGTAAGTTCTTTCTATTAATGGATCATGAAGTTATGGGAACATTTATCCTTCAGGCACGTCTGGTGAGCGTTAAGCATTTGAAGTATTCCAAACCTAACTTTATGTTGAAGTTTTACAATAATTTTGTAAAGCACTGTGTTCTCTGACGCTCTTTAAAGTGTACAAACAAATGTATCGCAGAGAATTTATCCAAGAAGGTAATAATCTTGGGCGAAACCTAGCAGTTGCACAGTGTAGCTCTTTTAGAGAAGAAAGTTAATGTAGTTCTTTCTATTAATATGGAATAGACCATAATACCTCTGGTGAGCATTTGGATGGTGATTCTAGCATTTCAAAGCTAACTTTGTGTTAAAGATGTACAATAATTATCTGATTTCCCATCATACTAAGCTCTATTTTCTCTCGCGGCCTTTAAGGTGTAGAAAAAATGTTTCATAGTCAATATATCACAGAAGTTAGGAAGCCTGTTTTACCAAATCCCTATTATTTGTATCATGGCATCATGCATTAGTAAGAATATTAAAGTCTTTTAATAAAAAAATGCTTTATATTCTCTAATGGGTCCTACCAGTTAAACCTAGAAATTTCTTAATTTGATTTATTTTTCACAATTTCAGACCACACCTAGGAGTAACAATTTTACTTTCATAGCTTCATTTTATTTCCACAATACTACAGGTGAGTTCGTCAAATTTACATAGTCGCTATCTTGAGAAAGAAATCTACAATGGTAGTAGATTGGGTTTTCTCCTGTGGTGATATGCATGGAGATACGTAGTGTAATTCTATCAAGATGTGATTTTCTTCAGCTCGGACCATTTTAGGTTTTTATCAACCATCACTCCCAAGAAGTTTATAACATCAGTTTCCTTAATTGGTTCTAATAAAGTGTCAATATAAGGGGTGTTTTTTTTCTATATGTAGAACTTTAAGTTGCAATAAAACAACAATTTTTTTTTATCCGAAAGATAATCTTGTGGCATTACATTTTAAATATGATTTCTGGCATATGACCGGCACGGCTGGCGCGGATGTAGTCTAATATGGAAGTCCAATTTTCGACTTTTTTCAACATTTGTGGCCGTATATCGGCAATAACACGGCGAATGTTATCTTCCAAATTATCAAGCGTTTGTGGCTTATCCGCATATACCAATGACTTTACATAGCCCCACAGAAAGTAGGCTAGCGGTGTTAAATCACAAGAACTTGGAGGCCAATTCACAGGTCCAAAACGTGATATTTGGCGGCCTTTCAATAAATCGATTGTGGCACGAGCTGTGTGACATGTTGCGCCGTCTTGTTGAAGCCACATCTCTTGGAGATCATGGTTTTTCAATTCAGGAATGAAAGAGTTAGTAATCATAGCTCTATACCGATCACCATTGACTGTAACGTTCTGGCCATCATCGTTTTTGAATAAGTACGGACCAATGATTCCACCAGCCTATAAACCGCACCAAACAGTCAGTTTTTTTAGATGTAACGGTGTTTCGACATACACTTGAGGATTAGCTTCGCTCCAAATGTGACAGTTTTGTTTGTTGTTACTGTTAAATTGGTCGCCATCTTGAACAATAATGCCAACTTAAAGTTCTATACATCGAAAAAAACCACCCATTATATTTGTGAAGAGGGACGATTTTTCCCTGTTTAGTCCTATTTATATTAAGGGTTAGTTTAAATGTGTCAAAAAACATTTTTAGTATTTTTAAACCATTTCTTTTCACTTTCACACCAAAAAGAAGAAGAAGCACCAAAAACTCTGGTCCGCATAGGAAACAACCCTGCCTCCCACATCTAACTTGCCAAATGGTTAGTAATTTCGTTAGTGAGCTCGGATTTCTATGGTGAAATCAAATTGATGACTGCTTAATAAAGCATTACTTCTAACAAAATCAAAGAGATGGTTAGACATTTTTCTAATATTTTGCTTAAATTTTATATTGCACTAATTGGTTTTTAATTACCGGTATCCGATCTACATCCTGCTTTATATGTAGGTGATACTATGGACGTTGCAAACTAAAAAACTGATAAATGTTAAAATTTTATAATTTTTGAAGTAATTTTATCGTTTCTTTGAGCACAATTGTTTTTTAAATTATTTATGTATTCTATTATCTGATTTACAATGACTGGAGTTAACGTTCATCCTACACTTTTTTGTTTTATTTTTACAGGAGAAATGGACAACTCTATTTAAGCAGCCATTTTTCCTTCAATTTGAAGTAAATATAGAAAATGACATTGACAACGGTTCGAATGCGTAAAGGCGGCTGCTATTCGGTTAGCATAGAAACCCCTTGGAACAAATTCAAACAAATCAGCTCAAAAGTCATCACGACACACCTCGTTTGATCTCAGACTCATTCGTTAGTTCGAAGCAGAAAAACCTCCGGAAGTACCATGGTAAGTTTTAATCTGACGCCTTACAAAGTCTAACCCGCAATCTCATCTAGCGTGAATGCATTTCCATCCACCTCGGTCAAGCCGGGGTCCAAATCGGAAACGCCTGTTGGGAACTGTACTGCTTGGAGCACGGCATCCAACCTGATGGACAGATGCCTTCGGACAAGACGGTTGGGGGAGGTGACGACAGCTTCAATACCTTCTTCAGTGAGACGGGCGCCGGTAAACACGTACCCAGAGCGGTATTCGTAGACCTGGAACCCACCGTGGTAGACGAAGTTCGTACCGGTACCTACCGCCAGCTATTTCACCCGGAACAACTCATCACGGGTAAAGAAGATGCGGCTAACAACTACGCCAGGGGGCACTACACCATCGGCAAGGAGATCGTCGATCTCGTCCTGGACCGCATCAGGAAACTGGCTGACCAGTGCACCGGTCTGCAGGGTTTCCTCATTTTCCACTCGTTCGGCGGCGGTACCGGTTCCGGCTTTACCTCGTTGCTAATGGAAAGGCTGTCGGTGGACTATGGGAAAAAGTCCAAGCTCGAGTTCGCGATCTATCCGGCTCCCCAAGTGTCGACGGCGGTCGTCGAACCTTACAACTCTATCCTGACCACCCACACCACGTTGGAACATTCCGATTGCGCGTTCATGGTGGACAACGAGGCGATCTACGACATCTGTAGGCGAAACCTCGACATCGAACGTCCAACGTACACCAACTTGAACAGGCTGATCGGTCAAATCGTCTCCTCTATCACTGCGTCGTTGAGGTTCGACGGCGCCTTGAACGTCGACCTCACCGAGTTCCAGACGAATCTGGTGCCCTACCCGCGTATCCATTTCCCTTTGGTGACGTACGCGCCAGTGATATCGGCCGAGAAGGCCTACCACGAGCAACTGTCCGTGGCGGAGATCACCAACGCTTGTTTCGAGCCCGCCAATCAGATGGTGAAGTGCGATCCCAGACACGGGAAGTACATGGCGTGCTGCATGCTGTACAGGGGCGACGTGGTGCCGAAAGACGTGAACGCAGCGATCAGCACCATCAAAACCAAACGCACCATACAGTTCGTCGACTGGTGTCCCACGGGATTCAAGGTGGGGATCAATTACCAGCCCCCGACAGTGGTACCTGGTGGAGACCTGGCGAAGGTGCAGAGGGCGGTCTGCATGCTGTCGAATACTACGGCCATCGCCGAGGCTTGGGCCCGGCTGGACCATAAGTTTGATTTGATGTACGCGAAAAGAGCGTTCGTCCACTGGTACGTGGGGGAGGGTATGGAGGAGGGGGAGTTTTCGGAGGCCCGCGAAGACACGGCAGCCCTGGAGAAGGACTACGAGGAGGTGGGGATGGATTCGGGAGAGGGTGAAGGCGAGGGTGGGGAGGAGTATTGATGTTCGAGCTGGGGATGTATTTTAATTGTAATACAGTTGTTTTTTGATTGAGCTTCGTGGAGTTTGAATCGAGTAGAGGGAGAGGTGTGTGGGTAGATGGGTACTTACCATAGAACCAATATTACATGGATGAAGTCAAGATGAATACGAGATAGCGCTATTCAGTTACTTTATGTTGGAGAAAGACAAAATGTTTTCAGTACCTGACTATGGGCAACAATCTGGGCTAGTCTCAGTTATTTGAATTTATTTTTAATTTAATAAAACCGCAAGGTATAAGAAGAAACAAAGGTGCAGAAAAGCTGCGGTAAATATATTTTCTGGCATTTACTAATGAAATATATATAGGATTATATATAGAATATATAGGATTATAAAAATAATATAAAATGCTTTTAAAATATCACCTTCTTTCTAAGATGGACTGGACTAAAAGAAAATAAAATTTAATTAACTAGAAAGGGGTGATTATGGGTCAATTACAATACATTACAATAGGATGATTGGCGAAACGTTAGTTAGTTGGTTAGTGTTGTAAATAGTAAACTAAAAACGTCAAAATTTCCCTCACATAACCATGTAATTTAAAATCAATTCACAAAGTTTCCATATAAAAATTTTGAAGCCAAAATAAAAGCAATTTATTTAACTCGTAATTGTATTTTGATGTTTATTTTTTTAAATATTTAAGTAAACCAGTGTTCACACCAAGAATTGTATCTCTCGACCAAAACTGACCCAAATTTTTTGGAATGTGATAACTTTCTTCAGGAAAGTGAGTAAACTTCAGAGATTCTAATGGAACAAGTTTTAATTTGGTTTGGTTAGATCCTTAGGATACTGAACAACATTTTAAATAGGTTGCGTAAAATTCAGAGATGCCTATGATGCAAAAACTCTGTAATTTTTTTGGGAACGTGAGAAAATTTAAAATTTTTAGAACGTCATATGCTTTCCTGCAAAATCAAAAAAGATTGTAGTAGGACTAGGAATTTTTAAATTTTAGAAGGAGACTTGTTGACCATAACTAGCCAAAACTAAATTTGTTTTCTACAGGATAATTTATTGGAGTAAAATTTAAAAATATTATTACTATGAAATTAGTATCTCTTAAAACGCTGAAATTCAGACATAAAATGTCTAGAATTTTGCTAGAAAATAGATTGTTCCAATTAAAATAACAAAGGTGAGATCCACTCCCGGTATATCCTGATGTGCCCCCATCTTTGTTGTCTCTGTCGATATTCTTGCATCGTACTTAAAGGAAAGAATAATGTACGTAGTGAGAAATGGTGTAGAGCCACATGAATTTGTCACATTTTCAGGCGTTCCTCTGTTTACTGGTTACTTCAGAATTCTGAGTGTAAATTATTTGCAGACGACTTTAAATTTTATAGAGTTATTAGTTATTAAGTATGTTGTCTTTTACTCCAAGAGGATGTGCTTAGAGCACAAGTTTGGGAGTAATAAGCAGTAGGCAAAGTTAATCACGGGGTCGGTCGTAAAAGCACTATATTTATGGTCGAAGTATATTTACCGAGCGCCCTGTATATTCGATAGACGAATCGGTGCGATAGGATTTCGGTGGGATTAAAAAGGCAACGCGGGTCGAGAATGACGCGCTTGCGACGATCCATCATCAGGATATGACACGCGTCGGATGGATGTCGGAGGACCACGTCGGGAGACGAAACTTAATCAATATTTTATGTAATTTCCTAAGTATATAAAATACATTCGGTGTTAAGGGGTTCCGAAACACGTCGTGCAACAGAGTCATTCGTCTTTGTCGCGGCGCAAAGTTATCGGGGGTGGGGTAAAAGACATTTTCCCGTGGAAATAAGTCCCTTAGATTCGGGCCGATGATTCATTGTCGATGCGTCGGCTCCTAAATATAGACGCGTTCTTTTTTTTTATTAACCGAAAAGTGTTATCGCTGAGGATTTACGATCGAGTCGACATTTTTCTGATTTACGTCAGAGACGTAGTGGTCTCAGCCAACTTTTTTAGATGAATTTGAATGGCAGAAAAGGTGTATTTTTAGATGTTTAATGCTCTAACACTACCCAAATTATATAGTCGCAAACAGTAGGCAGTTAATCACGGGGTCGGTTATAAAAGCATTCTATTTCTGGTTGTAGTATACTTCGTACTACTTTCGTGAGTGGCTTCTTTAAAACAAACCCAACCGAAAGTTTTTGTTTTAATGGGATTTGACAATATTTTTTGACAGAAATCAAGTGTGTATTAGCCAAACCACATAATTCATTGGCAGCAGTACTCCTGCAAATTCTTCTATTAGTCTTCTTATATGAAACAGTGTTTCATTTCTTAAACACTCGCTCCGCCTACCGAAACTTGTGACTAATGTGATGTTTATCTAACTGTTCCATATTATATTACTGAATAGTGTAAGATTTTTTTTTTGTGAACAATGCATTGTTATTTATATTAGTTGTTTCCTTAGTCTATAGAGAATTACAGAGAGATTCATGATTTGAGCTTTGCACTATAGACTTATAATTATCTGAGCACTTATTACTAATTTTGGATTAAAAGAAAAAGAAAAGGGATGTTTTTGGTGTTTTCCCGGCAATTATTATAATTTCCTTCACCTTTTAAACCTTCCATAGACCTCTACGAACATTTGAAGACCAAGATAAGATAAATCCGTTTTGCCGTTCTTTTGTTTTAGCGAGACAAACGAACAGCAACAGATTTTTATGTATGTAGATGAATAAATGCCATTGCAATAATTTTTTCATTCTGGACTATAGAAAACTATATTCTATACTAGATTTTTTTATTATAATAATAATTGTGACAGCGCCAGCAAGAGCATGTTGTTTATAATTTAATAATAACAAACTATTCATTATACATCTCATATCAATTAAAATAACTAAAGTGGCGTTTATATCAAGTTTTTCATACTATTTTCTTAACGGTTTCGCTGATATAATTTTTATTTTCTTAACTAAGCTTATTTTCTTAATTTCCCTTGTTTAATTTTTCTTGAACGATATTTATTTTCTTTTATTATAATAGAAAATAGTCTTCTTGTCGTACATAATCTTTCTCGATTTTTTCCATACTAATAGAAACAACTAAATCCCATTTTTTGGCTCTTGCTAGCCGCCATGGTGCACGTGCCAGAGTCGAGAGCTCAGGCAGCGTCGAGAAAGACTCGCAGAGCGTCGCAAACTCGCTGCGAAACTCTTCGAGAGCGCAAATTGCTCCCCGTTGGCTTTTGTGTGACAAACGCGTTCGTTTCGAAGCCCGATTGTGCCAAATAAAACGCTCTCAAAGTGAACCAAAACGGTCACTATTAACGGGGCTTGGTTTGTTTGCGGAGAAAAAGCCAAATTGCATCTGCGTTCGCTTTCATGACGATAAATACGTTCGTGTTTGGCGACCAATTTGAAGCCGCTTTGTCCACGCACTCCGGGCATTATAGTCGCAAAGTGTTTATGAAGTATATTACAGGGGTCCGGCATTGAAACTTCATTTTATCCGTTAGATTTGATGACCCGACTGGCGGCGAGATTGTTTTTTTAGTGAAGGACGTTGGGGTGTAGATTTATTGTAGAAAACAATGGCCATGACTGTAATAACGCTATTAACGTTATCTGCTCGGAAGCATTTTTGGGCCAATAAATCATATCGGTTCTGGGAAGTATTAAGGAAATTAAAACACAAAATATATGAACACGCTCCTTTATATAATTTTTGAATGAAGTTGCTTAACCGCCACTAAGGCTCAACCCTTAGAACTTCAGTAGAAAGTGTAAGGAGGTTCGCTGCCCACAAGTCCCACTCCTAGCTAAGTAGTAAATATTACGAGGTTCAACGCCAGTATAGTTCTCAAGCGTAGAATCAAATTTCCCCAGGGGAGTATTCTTGGACCTACTCTGTTCTCAGTTTATACAGAAGACTTCTCTACTTTTCTTAAATTTTTTAAATCTCATCAATACGCCTATGATACTCATTTATATTTATCTTTTGTTGCTAGTAACGCTTTATTCCCTATCTTGAATTCTCCACTATTGATAATAATTGATATATTGATAAGTTATCTACTAATTAAAGTTTCATACCCATTTTTCGCAACCTGTTTTGCAATAAGCCACAACTGATTTTGACACGACATTCTCCTAAAATAACTTTTTCGAAACCCACAGAGAGAAACAAGTATATCTGGCCCACCCCTGCCTTGTCACTCAAGTATAATTAATTTATTTATATTTAATATATTGAATCGCATTATCTTTATTACAATTATAAGTGAAATAGCGAGAAGTGTCAAGGTTGAAACTACCCCCCCAAATACCTAAGAAATATTGAATAATCTCTGACAATTTGGGCACAATTTGCATATATTTTCTAAATTTTTTTTCTCAACATTACCCTTATAATTAATCTTCCTCCCCCTCCCCCACAGGTCATTATTTTTATTGCTTATTACAACATTACACGGGCCAGTTTGAAAAATTGCACTAGGGTTTTTCAGAAGGCATTTTCTTTGTCAAATTAGCCGCCATGTTGTAAATGACATTTTTTGTGCATATTAGGGATCAGAGAGCTTGTCAAACCCAACCAACAAGATATGAATTTGGGATTTTTAACCTAGAATTTAATTTTTGAGACCACGGTCCCCAGGACGTTCGTCCCGATTGTTTTCGTACGTCAGCGGCGGCGCCCTAAAAATAATTTGACGACCCTCCCGTCTATATAACCGCCCGGATAATTATTCAAACGGAAGATATCGCGGAGTAGTTTCCACGCGACGCGCATAAACCGATTCCTTATATTTTTGGCGGACGACGTACAAAAGTCGAACTATGGCCGTTACACATGCAACGGAACCACCCTGAAAGTCTGGCGCGATTGACGACGTCCCGACAATGCAAATAAAACCGTGTTCCTCCGCTTTAATATCCGAGCGGAATCGTAAAATTTATGGGGTCAGAGGTCGGGCGCAATTTACCAGCAGAAATGAAATGCATAGAAATAACGCAACAACGCGGACCCG